TATGTTGATACGGATTATTTAAATTTTTATGCTTTCACTGACTTTTAGGGTCGTCATAAAAGATACTTATATGTTAATTTTATGCCATTCTTCCCTATTTCTCTCTTCTTATTGTATTGTTTCTGCCCATTATATCAGTGTAATGTCGGCTTAAGCATATATTATATTATTAATTAGAATCTACATAAATTATTCTCTTTCCCTATCAGTTAAGCGTAGCCTTTTTCTCAAGAGGAGATCTCGAAGGAACTCGAGTTGTGAATAAATAAAACCATACTAACAGGATGAAAAGTATTAACTTGAAAAACGTATGTTATATAGAACTTTGAACATTGGTGGCTGTAATCCTCTGCAAACACCCTATACAGTGTAAAAAATCTTAGTCCTAATACATTTGACATATTAGAAAGTAATTAAAAGAAGTTATGACTCTTCACATGGTCTAACAAGAGCTCATTCGAAAACAAAGCTTTAATATTTAAAATTAATCTGTACAACTGAATCAAGACAACCTTAATTCCTCGTTCGTTTCTGGTGAAAAAAAATATTTATTTACTTATTTTCTTTTGAAATTTGTTGTTTCAGAGTTATACTATCTCAACACCAATATCTATTTATTCATTCAAGTTTTTTTAAAAGCTTAAGCCCCTAGATGTAATATCCGGTGAAATAGTATCGGTAATGAGTGGAAAATAATGTAAACATCGTTACGCTTTTTGGACTATTAGCAAGGAATGTTTTTAAGTCAACTACCAACCAAGTTTCTTGAGTGAGCTTTAAACCATTACGTTTATGTTGACATATCATGTATTTTGGGTATTCCTATATTATTGAATACGGAAAATATTTAGATTAGATATGTTCTTACATCAAGGACGAATAAAACCCCCGTGAAAATGAAGCCTTCAATCGGCGGATTCAGCTTAGAAAAAAACCTAATAAATGTTATTGACAAACGCAAGTTCGTTAAAATTCAGAACTGTCAAAAACTTTCAATTCTTTGAGAGTGGTGCTGTTGTTTGTCAGCTTTGTAAACATCCTTTAATTGGTTCGTGATCAACACGTTGAAGAACGACTGTAGCTTAAGTGTTTAATTATTTTTCTTCATCGTCGTTAGATGAGTATAATAATCATATCATGAAGGATGGTTGACTTAGTGAGGATTTTTCCTCACGGAACATAAAGACTCCTTTTGTTCAAAAAATATCTGTAGATATTTACTCGCTGTGCAAGCAAAAAACAAGTGAAGTCGTTTGAAGGCAAATTAAATGAATACTTATAACCTACAGTAATTATGGTGACAGAAAGTAATGCTAATTTTCAAAGTAACTGATTGAATTTCTGAACTTAATATAGACAAGAAACTAAGAAATATGTAAATATAAATAATTATCCCCAAATCTCTGAAAAAGTGCCTGAATTTGCTCACTTTAACATCTTTGAAAGCTGATTTTCTTGTTCGAAAAACATTTCTTTTGGGCACAATACTCGCAGGAGACCATGTCTTACGGCAACTTTAGGATCAATAAGAGAATGTAACGACGTTCGAAAGCTATTGTCCCTTGTTCAACCTATTCCTCGCTTGCGGTCTTCGTTCTTTTGACATTGACAGAAAGAAATTCAATTAGGCGGATTTGAGTCCTGTTCAAGAGATTGAAAACGAAAAGTCTGATGAAAAAACATCAATTGAGGGTTAGTTGTATGGAAGTTAGAAGCAATTGTGGAGTTTAGGTTCTTAAGATGGACAATGAAAGGAAACTTATTTCAATGTATTCGTTGGGGTTTAGTTTTACGATTTTATACATTACTTTTCAATTAAGCTAATCTCATTTTGTAAAATGTTTACTTTTCATAAACTCACCGTTCTGGTTATTCGACGTATCATTCAAATAAATTCAACTACTTAGTACGTTCTATGTTAGTGAAGAATTATTCGAATAAAAAAAATCCAAAGCATGCTTTTGAATTAGAAATAGGACCAGAAATTCATGAATAATGGAAGATGAACTTTCTGACAAAACGTGATTTTTTTATTTTATAGATTCTTTGTATAGCTGAAAGTAACAAATAGAATAAATTACATGCTTTACTAACAGATACAGCTGGAGGCCCATAGCAGAAAGATCATGCCAATAGTGGATATATTTATTAAGCTAAATTTGTGGCTGATCCGAAGTACGTCATCGAATACAAAACAGGAAGGCTCAGGGGGACCTTTTTATTCCGAATTTTTTTACGAATAGCATTTATCTTCTATAATCGAAACACATTGCAAAAAAAAAGTAAAATGTTACACAGAGCTTATACAAAAAAAAATATAAACCTAAAAAAATAGCTTACATGCGGAAAATGATGAGTAAACATTATTGGATCATACAATTCTTTAAAAGAACGTCTGATTTCTAACTCTAGAACACTATTACTTCCCAATAGATCAGTATGAACCTCGATTTTTAATGCATAGAACTGACATCTAATGATTATATTTTTCTTGTCTTTTTTTAAACTAGATTACTGTCGTCTGAGCTTTCTGTCTAGCGGCAAAAGGTCTATGTTACGTCTCTGGTCGTTAGTTAATTTTCCGTATAATTTCTTTTCGAAGAAACTTTAGCGATACAACTCCTTTCTTAAATGAAACTGGTTTATTCTTTCTAAATACAACTTTGCAATACACTTAATTTCCACAGTCACGCTATAACAAACGCTATAATTCACAACGAACGTCTCACGTGCTCGACTCAACAATACTCTCTCTCTGTCCGCAGTTCAATTACTCATTACAATGTTGCCGTCACGTCTTGACCGTCTTATATATAAAAGAATACCGAAATCTAGTAACCTCCCGAGGATTCACGAAGCTTTGAGAATATGACGTTTTACTAGCGTCACGTGACCTCCGCTCTCGTAACAATACTAATACACTCTTCTACTTTTCTTTTAGGTTCCAGTAACGGTTAAGTGAAATGTTGATCACCGTATTTTTGTTTGTGTACATCAATTTCACCTTTTTATTTATATATTTCATATTTTATACGCAGAATTCGGAAGTTGTTATGAAAGTGATAAAGATAATTCTATTGGTATTATGATTATGGATAGAACTTGCTATGAATATGATAACGTGGTTAAAAAACATATTTATGGCAGAGAAACGTTTGAGAAATTTCATCACTTATTATAAGTTCATCTTTGGGGTATGGCGGGTAAAACAAAATACGAGGCCTAGCTAACTAATGAATGAATATTTACTGTAAAATTCTTAGCTACCAGTTTGGCCGCCAATTTTGAATTCATCTCATTAAGTCGCACGCTCAATTTTTTTTGGCCACACCGAAGGTGTTTCTTGATTAGATATCACGACTTTTTTGTCAATACACACCGACAAACCACAGTAAATAAGAAAGTGACACTCGATAGTATTACTCACTATTAGTAATTAACATTAGCTTTAGGATCGTAAGCCTATTATTCGGAACAGACCTATACGTTATAGAATCAACCAGATTCCTTAAAGTATATGGTGGTAGTTTTTCTCTCTAAAACAGAATTAATATTAACTTCCTTTATAGTAACGCTACGAAATCTAGGCGAATAAATGGCTTTTAATTATAATAAATGCATGTAGAATTTCACAATTTGAATTATAAGTATAATTTTGATGGGAATAACCTTAACAGTGTTATGGAAGAAAAATATATTGGTGTTCTGGTTGATCAATCTCTTAAGCCATCCAAGGATTATCTGTTGCTAGTGGCAGGGCAAATAGGATTTTAGGTAGTATTTTCAGAAATATTGATTACAAGTCTAAAGAGATTATAATGTCATTGGTTAGGCAACATTTGGAGTATTGTGTTCAGTCTTGGGCTCCTTACTTCCAAAAGGATATTGAATTCTTGGAAAGGGTTTAGAGGATAGCTATAAGGATGATACCTGGGATGGAAAGGTAATTATATGGGAATTGCATAATATCTTTGAACTTTTCTCTTTAAAAAATAAGAGTTAGAGGGGATTTGATCAAGGTGTTTAAGATCATTAAGGAAATTGATAGTGTTGATGCATAATATTCTCGACATTTAATGGTGAGAATGGTAAGACTAGGGGACACAAATATAAATTGTAGCAGGGAATAAGTCATCTTAAGTTAATACAGCTTTATTTTTCTAACAGGGTGGTTGGCCTTTGGAATGGGTTGCTTTTTGATGTGATGAATGCAATTAATTTAAGGGTGTTAAAAAGAAAGCTTGGTAAATACTTGAATGACAAGGGCTGGCTTTGAGGTGTTTTTAAGAGTTTAGTTTAATTTAGTGGATAGGACAGCCTAGATGGACAAAAAGAGCCCTTACTTTCCTTTAATGTTGTATTATGTTATTATATGATGCTACTTTACTCCAACATTTTTACTTGGTAATTTTTAATTTACCAGCAGGTGGCAACAGGTTGATCCTAATCGCACTGTGTCAGTGCTCTGGGAATGTCGGCAGGACTGCGTCAATCTCTCTGATGATCTGAGTGACAATTGCCATGTCCAATATTTAAGAAGCCACCGTAGTAGCGACGTTTTCCAATATTTAGCTACAGGGTGGGTATCTAGAGGTTTTAAGTAAAGCTGTTGACAAACCTGGCGATTTTTATTAGAATTGAAAATTAAGTGTAATAAGTAGTGTGCAATTGTGAAGGGAGAAAAAACTTGTAAATTCATATGCATATGCTGAATGAATAAAGAATAATGTTCTAAATGTTTGGTTGAAGTTGTGTGTTTGACTGCTTTAAGTAATTGTTATTGTGAATGGTTGTTTATTGCTTTTTTAAACCATTACATTGTGAAATCAACTATGCAAGTTGATCATGTTATTTATACTATTTATAAGATGTTTTCTCTCTTAATATATTAATAGTACTTGTTTTCTATAAAAATTATATAAGTTGATTCTATAAAGTAAATTACAATTGTACATGATGCTTGCCATTCTCTGTAAAGATCCTTTCAAACAGACCAATTAAACTGTTTTATTGATTTATTATACCTATACACTTTCCAAATCATTAACACTGAAAATTAAAACTTGTGAGTGTAACACTCATGTATAAGTTATGACTATTTTTTTGAAAAAAAAATAGGTTAGACATCAACTATAGAAGATTATACATCAACTTTCACATGTGTGCCCATGTACACACACACAAAATCATACTTCCCTGATTTACTAACATGCCTGAACATCCTACTATCTAGATATAGACAGCTGAGAAAATATTTACAGCATTGTTCAATAAGAAATGAGCAGGAAAGAAGTCATAAGCATGTGTGACAGATGGAAACAGTAACAAATATTAAAGACTTGGCACATATTATTAATTATTGTGATCTATATGTATGTATGTTAGATATTAAAAGATTTTGTCCAAATCTAATCAAACTGTTAAAAATACAAAAAAGAACAAACAAAACTGCACATTGAATACCTCTTCAATTTACCAACAAAATCATAGAAACTGACTGAACTATAGAATATTTGTTTGTACATACCAGTTTAATGTTAAGGCACATACAGAAAAATTTTACAATTATATAGATTCTTAATTATATCACATTTTAAATAAATGTTTTGCCTAAAAATACACTTTATATCATATAATTTGGACTAATTATCTTCAAACTCCCCAGTGGCACAGCCTGAAGTCTGTAGGCTTATAATGCAATAAACCAGGTTTTGATTCCTGTAATGGGCAGAGCACAGATAGCCCATTGTGCAGCTTTGTGCATAACAACAAACATTATTTTCAATTATAACACTAAATTTAAGCAGTTTAGTTCCAAACTGATTTTCAAAGTTTATATAGTTAAATAACTTTAAGGTATTTCAAAAGTCTCCAACAGAAGGTTAGAATACACATCTCCTGTGTTTGTTTAAAGCAGCTAATCAGAGAGGCATAAGATCTGCAACCTGACTGTGCAGATCTAAATATTATATCAAAGTTTTAAGCTCATACGATTCATTCTATTTGTACACTCAGAAAATGCATTCAGCTTTCTAACTGAATGAGTTTCCAGCTCTGAAACTAAACCCTGATGGCAGTCATTTTCCAGTAGAGTCTGATATTTAGTCTAGTTTGAAAAGCAGGAAGTTGTAAAGGAGTGCTGCAACATAGTTTTCAGATACAATACATACATCCTATTGAGCCATTTGACTCACCAGTGTGGCCTTTAAAATAGCACTGTTGAGACAAAATATTTTTGTAAAGAAACAGGTTTTATCATAGTATGGCTTTTCTTAATCAATTATAATATAGCAGAGCAATCCTATTATCCTAAGAGGCCAGGGTATCCTGACCCCATATTTAGGGCAGGGATAATACTGAATGAATATAGAAATAGCCCTTTCACTGGCCTTGCCCACCAGTTATTTCTGCTTTAAAAAATGCCTTGTAAGTAGAGATCATTTTCATTCACATAAATATAATTTAAGATACAAGATGCACAACTAAAGAATTAAATTCAAATCCCTCTTTACTAAACTATAAACCTGTCATTGCTTTGCTTAGTTTCCTAATTCTCATTTGATGTATCACTCTATAATCACCTATTTTTAAAATGCATACAAAATATAGTTATTACAGCTAATGAACATGTTATTACAAAATATGTTTTATATATAAAAATCTTAATACAATGAATATACTCATTCACCAATAGCTTATAATTTAGGTCAAAATTGGAGCATAGTTTTACCTAAAGAATAAAGGAAGTCTGCCCTGCACTGCAAGTGACTGAAACCACCAAGGTAATGGTTCCCAAACCTGGTGTCATAGCCCAAGTTGGGGTTATGAGTTTGGTAACAAAGAAAATTCATATGTAGCAAAGAAAGCTGCACAGATTTGGGATGTCTGAACTGGGAATGACATTCAAGAAAAGTTTGGGAATCATTGCACTAAAAGTTAAATACCGCAAGTATTATGTATAATAATTTATGGCTAACCAATAAGGGATAGCTTGGTTGATGGTAAGGAAAAAAATTATGATTTTTAAAAATATATATATATATATATATAAGCTGAACTGCTTGTTTCCTTAGACCAGATGCACATTATAAAAACTAAATATAATACAAAAACAGAAAGAATATACAAAATAAAAACGTTTCAAGACATTTGCTAAAAAAATACACTTTTACAAAAAGTTCTGAAAAGTCTTCTTTTAAGACAGTACGTTTGTATAATCCGGAAAGAGAGTTCTTTTATAAATAAACCACTTGTGAGCCACTTATAACAAATTTTACAATGTTGACTCATTGCTTCTTTGGTTTAATGGTAAAATCTCCTGTTTCCATTCAAACACAGCAGTATTAAACTCTTGCTCATTAGTGCTTCCATTTCCAGAAATATTGTTTTCTGAGGGTGGATCTGTCTCACAGTTGTCATGGCTACTATTCATCAGTAAGTACTCAAGGTTATCAAGCCCATTCTGTTGGATCTTTTGACCAGAGCTTGTTACACATGAAGAATAACTGGGAGGTTTCTGATCTGAAGTTAGAAAATAAACAGTAAATCAATGTGTTGTTGTTGCTTGTTTAGGGTTTAAATAACAAAAATATGTATACAGATAAACATTTAAACATTACATAATTTGTGGTAAAAATAATTTAAAGCAATATAGATTTTACTTTAAAAAAATGTTCAAATTTACTAATTACAGTGCTGAAAAGGGGGCAGGATGGCATTTCTTACTTTACATTTAGCATCCCACTACTTTTCTATGCACTTTAGACCTTTCTGAATGGACATCTTTAATCTAATTGCTGTCATTTTTAAACATAGTTCTGTTTAGCCAAAAGAGTAAAATAAATTTCACTTAGACTTTCATTCTCTTCACCTTCTTCCCTCTCACTATCAGTGTGTGTCAATATGACAACATGGTGAAAGGGCTTCACTAATAATCTGAATTTTCTGGTAGAATTTCAGAATCTTTATTTTACTGCTTAACCAAATAATTTGGCAGATTTTCTACAATCAAAGGTTATTGATCAGTTTTATTTATTGATAGAAGGTGAATGACATGTTAGCTGGAAGTTCTTATCTCCATTTTTTCAGAAGAGGAGAGACATGCAAGATAAAAGGCCATGATTTAACCTCAGAGTTCACCATTTTGCCATTTCTAAGTATCTGCTGAATTATAATTAATGGCTAATCATTTATTTGATAAACACAGTCTTGCACAAAGTTACGAATATTGTATAGTAAGTAATTAGCACCTATTTTCTTGTATTCATACTTTTCATCAGTAAATGTTAATTGAATGCAATTTATAAATAAGTTTCTTCTTTTAAATGAAAATGTTCAATATTTCATTGCACAAAATATAAAATTCACAGTAAACAATCACCCATTATATGGGCAATTATTCAATTTCATGAAACTTTCTTTGATGAAAAAAAAACGGTGTGTGTGTGTGTCTGTCTTGTAGCATTGGCAAGTATTTGTTCTAGATCATTTAACTGGTGTATTTATGAAGCACATTGTAACATTATGGCTAAAAAAATAGTTTAGATTGATACAGAACTATTATAGAATTATAATTATAATTTTTTACAAAAATTATTACAAGATATTAATATTAGACATATAAATTATTACTGGATGTTTTGAACTTTAATAACTAATGTAAAAATGAAAATGACTTATTAAATAAATGAGAATATTAAGACTCATTAGAACTGCATAAATATATTTTTATAATAACATACATTAAGAATGGTTAGTAATAGAATTTAAGAACTTTTGGATTAAACATTCTAAGATTACAACAAACTTTATATATAAATTAAAATATCTGTTTTGTAATATACAAAGTTTAAAGGCAAGTTACTACTTTTTTTCCATAGAAATGGATCCATTAACTTACTATCCTCAATTAAATCCATGTAGTTTGCTAGCTGATTAGTTGCAAGAGGAGAAGGTAGAAGATAATCTTCTTCATCAACTGAAAGTCTCAGATAGTCTGGTTTTTGCTTTCTGAAATCCCTAGGTAATGTTGTGCTCTTATGGTTTACTTCATCAGCTTCATCACAGTGTGTTTCTAAAGAAACATAATTACACCAACGAATCATAATTGGTGAATATATATATCCACATAGTTTAAACTCACTAAATCTTTCTTCATAACTATATTATATATATATGTATATATGTATATGGTAGCTATGCAGTGACTTATGTTTTACAGTGTCAGTTTGATGAAAGTAATTAGTAATTTTCACATTGAAATAAATAAAAAATGATGTATTAAGAGTTACATTTTAGTTGACCATTATTCTTAGCACACAGATTGAAAAATTAATTACGTGAAACTACTTTAAAAATACTTTTGTATCTAGTATTAGATTCAAAAAAGACAAATGAGGCATTAAATACAATCATAAATTTCTTTGCTAAATGGACTATACAAGTATTAGAACAGAGGGAGCCACCCACCCCATCTCAAACACAGGGTACAGCACCTACTTTGTCTTCCCCTCAATAAATTTTGATGGGTTTACAATTTTCCCAAATTGAATTGAGTTTTAGGTCCAAATTAATGATTCAACATAAACAAATAAAACATTATAAATGAATCTGGTTGCTGGAGATAGAGTCAAAAAACGTAAGATAAAGAGATTAATGTAAAAAATAGAAGATCATGTGGGTCATTAAACCTCTTATTAATTTCACTTGCCTTTTCTTCTGATTTAAATCATATTTTAGCTTCCACAGAATCAAAATAAGCTCAACTGCTACTCTAATTATAAAGTATTTTTAGGGTAGTTTCTCCCCAACCCCCTCAAAGTTTTCTGACAGACCATTTCTGACAAGCTCTATTCATTTCTTTGTAATGATTTTTTATTCTACACTAACAATAACGTTAATACACAGATACTGAAAAAATAAAACAGCATTTATTAGAACTCTTACATGTTGAATAAATTAAATGCACAATTTAAAAATTCTAGGTCCAAACTTTTACAAATGATGTAACTGAACTTCTAACTCCACAATATACCATTGAAACTAGAAAAATTAACCAGAAATAAAAATACCCAACTCTGTAAAATATCACAAAATCTACCTAATAATACATCACTTTCAAACTCTCTGATTAATTAGAATTTAAAACATTTATACGTTCTGACCAAGTTTAAAGTAACATATAATCTAAAAACTATGTTCTTAAGTATCTGGCTTGTGCAATCTAAGTTATCTTTTGTTTCTAAACTTTTATTTTCTATCAGATGACAAGATTATAATTCTACAAGGAATGATTATTGTCTATTAACAAAATATTTGATCAAAGTATTTACGTACAGTGACAGACTGATTTATGTATTATTATAGCTACAATGAAAAAGACCTCAGCACTATCCCATGTTAGTCACTTTGTTTTACACTTTCAATAATGTTACATAATGAGTTGGCAACATGTATAAACAAACTAAAGAGCACTTCAACTAAACGTTAGAGGAAAAGTACAGATAATATAAACAGAATAATAATTAACAAACGATTAAGGAATACCACCACACAACTTTGGCCCCTCTCAAATATTTTGCTTCCAATGCCTATGTACTAAATGGCAAAAATCCAAATTCTTTCACTAATCACAAAAGAAAAAATTATTACTTGTGCAGTAAAGATGTTAAAAATAATTCTAATCAGGAGTTTATCAAATTGATGAAATTTTTATTGTCAACTTTATGTGATATCACTTAAGTTTAGCTTGAAAACATTTTGTTTTCAGAATTGCCAAGATAAACACACATGCTTATCTAAGATGAAAACATATTTAATTTATAGAATCTACAAAACAGTTCTAGTATACTCTAAATGTAGCTACACTAGCAATTGCTAACATAAAAATGTGATTAAAGAAATACAAATAATTATCCTTCTACCTTCTTGAAGAGGATCCATTGAATAACATCCACACCTTGTGCCATGTTGAGCACAATATCTATAAGATGAAGATGGCAATTGCTCACTGAAGTCAAATTGAGAAATTGTATTTGGTGAGCAAGAACGGCTTTCAAATCCACAGTCAAACATGAACTTCTGTGGATGATAAAAAAGTAAAATAATGCTAGTAGGTTCAGTTGTCAAGAAAACATTGTACTGAGACATAAAAAACATCAGATGTTAGAGTTGAAAAATTAAAATGTGACTTTCTTAGAAAAGGTTTTTTGTGTAAATAAACCTTTCATAAATAAATGTTTTTATTGTAAGTCAATAAAAGTATCCATCTTACTTCAATGGGTGTTAAAGGAGGTGACCAGTCTGAAACACTGGACAAATTGGTTTTTGGTTGCAGGTACTCTTCAGCATCCATGATCACTTCAGGACCTTCTTTGATCATACTCAAAGTGTGAATAAGATCTTTTTCATCTTGTCTAGTGTAAGTGGGGAGCCGCATCAACTTATCCCCTGGTACCACCAGGTAGCGTCCTGGATCACGAGCCATTTTGGAAAATTCATCAGTTAGCTCTTTAAAAGAGGGTCGAGATTCTGCATCTAGGATCCAACCTGAATAGATAAAAGTAGCTAACTAAACAAGATAACATTTAAGCTAAATAAATAGCCTAGATGACACATCGAATCTAACCTCAACAGAAAGGAAAATAAAAAATATAATAATATCATCCAAGTAGGAAATCAAAAAGCAAACCAAAGTAATCTAGCATACAACCAACCAAAATAGTTATAAAATATAAACCCATGAAAACCAGCATATAACCTTAATGGATGATAAAAGAAATAAAAAAAATTAACTGAAAGTAAAGGATTGGAAAACAAATCAAAGCAAGCTACAATAAAATATGAACACACAGGATATATAAACAAATCAAAGATCCATCCTGAAAAAAGAGAGAGAGAGAGGAAAATATAAAGCATGTATTTTATAAAAACGGTATTCCACCTTTACATTTATTACAGTACAATTTTCATAGTTGTTTTTCAAAATCTGAACAGCACTTTATGTGACACATGGAGTAAACAGCCAAGTCAGAGACCTCTAGAATTGAGATATAGCCACCATTCCTAATTTTGAATTGCTGATGCTGAACAAAGGGAAGGCTGCCAGTCAGCATCAGCTGCTACAACAAAACTCAATAATGGGATTTATTGTCACTCTTATAACACACCCTTAGCTGAAAATAAGAAGTGTATTCAGCAGCATTTTTATCACAAAACCTTCAGAATTGTGTAATTATATTAGTTACAGAAAGACAACATTTCAGTATGCTAGTATAGTTCTTTTTTTTTTTTGGTTCTAAAGATTGTATATCAAGTAGATTCATGCAAGTGAAACAACAACCTTGTCTTATGACAAGTATAATTAATTATAGCTGCAGATTTGCCAAATCTGTAACAAGTGTTTTAGTTTTCTAACATATCTGCATGTTTATGCAGTCAACACCAGCTTTTCAAACTGTTTTCTATAATTTAACATGGCTACAGGTGCTAGATTTACTATCCAAATTAAAACAAGCAAGATAAAGAAATTGATCTTGTGTATTGTTATTATCCTTATTTTGAAAGGCCAGTACACATTGTTTCACCAGCCAATACTTTGCTTTTCTACTATTTTCCTTATATAAAAACAAAACATTAGTGCTTTCTTGGTGCAGGGGGGACTCAACACCTCTATTTCAATGTTCTACCAGAACTAAAGTACTCTGTTTTTATTTATCAGCATGCTATATTAGTTTGGTACTTTCCTTGTACAAGGGAGACTCAGTTTTATTTCTTATACTTTCCTGGTAAAAGAAAGGTTCTTCTTATTTATTTTAGTGATCTCCTTCTTTTTAATTGTGCTATTTTAACAACAGAGGGATCTTTACTCCTTTATTTTACTGTAATACTGGTGTTCAGAGAACCATTATTTCATTATTTTTGGGATCTTTACTCATGTCATTATTTTAAAGTGAAATTTCACAAGAATATTCTGAAGTTATCAAGATCACTGTATCACTGTTCAGTAGGAAAAATAATAACTATGCATGTAAAACAAAACAAAACATGTAACTGTTCTTGTGTACTAGTTGGTTTTATAGAAAACATTTGAGCATTTCCTTGATGTCAGTTCTTTTTATTTTCTCCAACATTCATGCAGACTTTGATGCAATAACTTATATTATAAAGAGACAGTTTTCAAATACTGCATGGGTCAAAACTCCAGGTCTAACTATTAGGCTTTATAACTATTGTTACGAAAGTGGAAGTCACGTGATGCTGCTCACGCATGCGTGACTGAGTTTATCGAATTATCAGGGAACTCCTCAAATTTTGTCAAAGACTCTTTGTTAGTATATAAGCCTGGCGAGAAAAGCCAGAAAATGATGAATGAATGTATGATAAAACGAACAGTAGTCACGTTTCAGGTAATTTAAGATTCTGTTTCGAGCTAGTGTGTGTTTTGTACTCATAGAGAGCGAAGTTATCGAGATTGTGAATTGCTGTGAGTTATAGTGTGTTATAAAAGTTGTTAAGTTGAAGGTGAAGAGAAACGTACTGACTGTGGAATTACTGTGTACTAAAAGTTTGTATCAAGAAAGAATAAACTGGTTTAATCAAGAAGGGAATTGTATCGCTGAAGTTCCTCAGAAAGAATTCATACCAGAAATTATCAAACAAGCAGATATGCAACACTATGATTCATGATCAAGCAGAATTAGAAAACACATATGATTAAACATAATTAATAAAGCATTTTTTAGGAGAGGAAAGGATTCTAAATTTCAAACATAATCATTAATATTTTTTGTTCAATAAGAATTACAACATGAGACAAAAACTCACATTTTATCATTATCATATATACATCAATTGTACAAATAGCTGGTTGTGGTAGCCGCTCTCCTTTCTCAAGAAGGTCTGGTACATCACGAGCTTTTAGATGTTCATATGGTTTTTCTCCATAACTAAGAAGCTCCCAAACAGTCACTCCTGGAAGAATAAGAAATTTATGAAAACCTAAAATTCTATCAATTTTAATAATGCTTTGTAGAAATCATAATGATGTTTAGAACAGTTGGGCAGATATAAAATTTTCTGAAGTTTCAAGGTATTAGAATAATGTGCAATTTTTTGAAACAATCAGTACATCTCACTTAACTGTCTGAAAAGTAGAAACGGAAATGAACAGATTGCATATTCCTGTTATATGAATACACGTATTTATCATTTCAACAATTTGGGTGATACAGAAAAGAGACCACATCAGCATTCTCTCACTACAAAAACGTATATGAATTTATAATATGTATATGCATATGTAACTATGGTAAATCTTCAGACTGCTGGAATGCTTAGATTGTTAAAAAAATTGTTACTTTATTTCACATATGTGTCTGATACTTTACTTGTTAGCTTGGAAAACAAGAGTTGCAACACTTTTCAATTAGAAATTTTTTGTCTACCTGACCATCCTAGGTGATGATGGCTGAGTAATAGTTGCAAAATATAGTCATTACTACCCAATAGCTTGGACAGCAAGTAAGGTCACTTCCTTTCAATCACTGACTACTTGAACCAATGATTGTCTCAGCTATCACGTGAGTGATATAACACAAATATGGTGCCTATGTCATCAATCAGGTGCTCTAGAAATAAGGGTCATGACACCCTTTTGGTCAGCAATCTTTTGATTATACACCCATCCTAGCTTTGATTGCCAGTTACTCTCACCCATATCGATTGGAAAGCTGATGTTGCCATCTGGTTGGAGCTGGTAGTTTTTCCACCTCCACCTTTATATGCTATCATCACATACGCCAAGTGTTTGTCCCAGACAGTTCTTTCAGGACTAATAAACTTTGCAAGCATCTGCTTGGTAGTTTGTATTACTTGTTCTGATAACCCATCAGACTGGGGGTGAAAACATGAAATATGAATCTTCACTACCCATAACACTTTGGAAAACTCAGGGAGCAGTGTTGACTGTTGAAGTTAGCTCCCTAATCTATGTGTATTTCTTATAGTACTATGAATCATGCTATCCTGTTCTCAGCTAGCACATAAGCTACTAGTGTTGAACATCTCGACTCGCTTGTAACAAGAACTCCTATTAAACGTTAACATCAGTGCAGTTTACATCTTAGTGCCATACAGTCTTTGTGTTGTACAAAGTCCAGAAAATTTCTTGACAAAGAGCTCTAGGGATCACTAGTTTCAAAACTGGAACTTTTAATGTATCCAGATATTCATCTGTTCAGAGTAAAGGAAGGTGTAAACATGAGTTACTATGTACATCTGTCTAAAATCAACACAGAAACTTGCTGAATCTTGCTAATTTCTATTACTACTGGAGAAGACCAAGCACTTTCCAACAGTTATAAGACTATGTTTTTCAGCACCAGCTGTATTTCAGTGTTTGTAACCTTAGTGCTTTGGCAAAGCTAGCACAGCAGTAGCTCTGTCAGATGTGCATCACCTGTGTTTATGTGGTGCCTAGTCACATTGGTCGACTCAACTGGCTATGTGGTTCTACAAATACAATGCTATAATCTCCCAAGTCACCGAGTTGCTTCCAATTTGATGGGTCTAGATTGTTAACACAATCCTCAACCAACAACCTCATATGTCTCAGCCACATATATATATTTTTTAACTGAAGTGCAACAGATGCAACCCTAGCATTAATTACTTTTACTTTACTCACTGTACCTATGACCATACCAGCATTCAGCTGTGCACCCATTCACCCACAGTTACAAAGTAATACTGAGACTTTGTCCTTTATTGGACAGATGACTGTCCAAAATAATCCTGCCTGCTTTCTGGACAGGAAACTGTCTGTTTCATGCATGTCTTCTCAAATCTTGTTACACAGCACAGATTAAATCCTGGAACACAACTTGTGTATTTGGAGGTACTATTATTCCTTCCACTACACACATTCATGCAATTCACTATTCCTGGGCTAAATCTGGTCAGCACTGTACGACTTTTCCATGAAACATTAGCTCACCTGTTGCACTAGTTAAAATTGATGGACAATCTTTGCAGCACATCCATCCTTAGTATGTCAAAATTGGAAATGACTACTTTCCTTCTGTGAGTGACATCTTCTAGACTGAGATGAAGATCTGACTACTTTCCTTCTGTGGGTGACATCTTCTAGACTGAGCTGAAGATATGATTACTTTCCTTCTGTGGGTGACATCTTCTAGACTGAGCTGAAGATCTGACTACTTTCCTTCTGTGGGTGACATCTTCTAGATTGAGCTGAAGATCCACATTTCTTCTATCACCAGAACAAAGTTGGCATCCACTGGCCATAGTGATGGTCTTACTCAGAGGGCTTGAAACATAATAAGTTACACTAGAGTTCTTGCCATTCCTGTGTCTGCCAGGAACTCAAACTCTTCTCCTTGTACACTCATTGGCATATACCAATCTCCACACAGCCCTGAGAGGGATGGGCTTACCACTAAACACTTTGGTACAAGTAATTCATTGTGTTCCTTCAAACTGGTGATCAAGCCTGACTTGGACTGTCAGTTTTTCAGAACATTTGCCACAGTGTCCACCATGCATTGCTGGTTATCCTAAACATTCTGATTCAGTGGCTGGTACCAACTTTGCTGCTTGGCAAAGTGCTGATGTTGTAGGTTAGCTGGCATCTGATGAGCTTTCAGCTGAAACTGATAACTCTGCCATCTCTGCTGCTCAGCAAAGTAAAGGCAATTCCTTTACCAGTGCCCCACCAATCCACAAGCAAAAAAAACACTTCATTATTTTCCTACTGAATAATGTGGAAGAACTGACATTTGCTCCTGCATGTATACCATTGGTAGGCCTAGATAGCCCTGCCCACTCACTAGAAACCTGTGCAGCTGCACCACAGTGCTGGTTAATCCATGGTCCAAACAACTCAACATAGTAAAAGTGCCTGAGTAAGTAGGTCCATCTGTAGAGTAGGCAGTCTTTTTCCTCTCTAACAACTAGCCACAAATTAACAATTCAAGCTGTGTCATCATGGAAATTACTTTGGTTAGGGAGATGATGTTCCTAATACCCAGGTGTTGTCACATGAGCTCATTGGGTATTCCTTCAATGAATGTATTGACTACTATATCCTCCTAATTTGCAGATGCATGCTATTACAAGATAGACCTTCTTATGTAGTTGATGCAGGTCATTTTCATAAGCTGTCAGTTCCTTGTTGCCTAACCTTGAACTTAGCTCGATATTCTACTGGATGAAGTTGACAATGCAGCTCATACACAACTCTCTCCCAGCTCTCCTGGTGCTCCTCATCCAGATGTTCAACATCATTGAGGAACAGACCATCTAAGCTCAGGATCAGGTATTTTACAGCCTGTTCCCATGTTCCATTCCAGGTAGAAATTTGACTGAAATTCTTTAGGAATTGGTCAAGGTCCTCTTTCATCATCTCCTTGAATATTGGGGCATGATTTGTTTAGCCTTGCTCACAGAGAATTGTGCAGCTGGCCAAAGCCTCTCTGTTGTGGGATCTCAACTAATACCATGATGAGAAGATTCTGCCAATGTGCTTGGCCCAAGGTGACAGGATGATGAACTACTTGGAGTGGCTTGTCATACAGCCTTGCATGACTCCAGCTATCACAAGATGCTATTGAGGTCTTAATGAATCTTTTAATGACTTGTCCTGCCTTTCTCCACTGGTTTGTATCAGAGCTGTGGTCATGGTTCCCTAGGAGTTCTGTATAAACCTTCTCAAGTGGTCTTAGATTTGCCAAGCATCATTTCATTTGGACAACCTTCAGTAATTCATGCTTCCTTTCCACCAGTATAAATTCTCAGGGGTATAGTATGTTCCAATGGTTTGGATGCTCCAAATATGAGCAAATCCCCAAGTATTTAGTTGCAGGCTGACCAAAGTTAAAGACCTTCATTCATCAGTGAAAGTCTTACATCCAGGAATGAACTTCTCCCACTCTCCTAGATTCAACATCTCTCCAGTACAACCATCTTTCTCTGCTAATAAACTATTCCTCTTGGTCATGTAAAAACTTCTAGAATAAGCTATTTCTTCTGCAAAAGTGTTAAACTCAATAAACACAACAGATCAAGTAAGGGTTAGTACAAACATTATCAAAATAGAAACTTTGCAATGAGTTTTCCTGTCATGGCACCAAAATTTCTCCTTCCTTTCTAATTGTGTGGAAATCAGTTTTACCTGAAATACCACAAGTAGATAGGAAGAAAAACGATCCAGAGAATTTGTGGAGTAATCTACTAATTTATATTTGAAAACTTGACTGAATTTCTTAGTGTGTAAAATAATAAGATTGGACAAGTTTTGAATAAAACAAACATAATCTTTATTATAAGTAAACAAAAACCCACCATGTGTACTTGTGCAAACAATAAGACATTTGGTCTTAAAAATACATTGAGACATGAATCAGTTTTCCATCTCTCAAGAGGACTCTGGCAAGCTAGTAATGATCAGAAAACGAGTAGAACTGAGAATGAATAGTTATTTCAATTTTAAAAGAAACTTCATATTCTCTCTTTTAAGGGCATCACTAAGTAATCATTGTTTTCTCACAACATTCATCTGCTGTAATATAAATACATCATCTACTCGACCACCAAATTAAATTGTAATCATTGACCCTGTCAGATTTTAAAAATAATATACAAGTTCTTCTTTTTGTCGAAATAAATGGCCTTTACTTATATTTCTTAATAGTATAAATATATGCTATGTTGTTGTTGGGGTTAGGATTCTTCTACAGTAGGTGTCTGTGACTTGTTAGCGATAAATTCAACGATGAATAAACAGCACACACGTTACTTGTTTTCAAATAATATATATATATTTTTTTTTCGAAATAAGTTAAATGCATGTACAACCAAGTCTTCACACTATAGAGATTACAGGCATATCATAAACACTATTTATATATAATTCTCTTTTTCATGTCAAAAGTCCTCTTAGGCCTATTCAATTGCTTTAGAATTTCAGTTGACAAGCCGAACTATCTTCTCTATATTACTATCGTACTAGTATTCTGTGTATGATTCACTTACAGTTGTGACACAAGTTACCATAATTTGTTTGGTCTTCTTTCTTCTGAAGATCTTCTGTTCCTTTTGTCAAAGTGTAGCCAGGCTGATGCAATTACTTTAGAACCACACTTTGACAGAATAAATCATTTTTTTTTTATCTTTTTTTTATACCATTAGTTTCACTCTAACATATCAAATGTTAGGCCTATCACTTCTACGGCAGTTAACTTCACACCAACTTCTCTTTTTCTATTATCTGTCTGCTTCTGTCTGTCTACTACTTCCCGTTCGTTTCATGCTATTTATATCTTTATTACATGGTCGTCTGGCCACTTTCTATATTCTTGACACCAATTAGTTATTTACAAAACCTTCTACAATCGTCTTCTTTTAACTCTTATTATAACAAAACTTAAAAATAATAAAAATATTCATTCACAAATATAAATTAATCACTAATATTTAAACCAAACAGTCTTTTGTATAATGACAGACCCATCTAACAATTAAGCATGGTAGACAACAAAAACCTCTAAGGCAGAGTGAATATTATCTGCTATAGAGAACAAAGAAACAAAGCAATTAAAACAAGACAACTTCATTGTTTTTCCGGACCATGTGTTCATGTTAAAACCACAGAAACTAAATAAACAAACATTTTTTTAAATTCTAATATTAAAAGCTAGTAGAAAACATATCACAGAATGACTTTTTTACTGACTCTGCTGAAATCATGACTTCCCTTGCTTTAGCAACGTGATTCAACAATACTACATGTATTCCTTTCTTTGGAATTCTAAAATTTCATGTTTTGCATGCTTTTATAATCATGAAATTGAAGAAATTTGCATTGAAAGGTCCTATAGTGTAGCAATTTAAGATATGGAAAATTTAAGGCACTATTTTCACCTGCAAATCACCACACTTCAAATTGATTGCAACAAGAGGGTCAGGGCTTAAACCTGTGTAGTCACAGGCCATGGTGATGACAATGAACAAGGTGATTAGATATGCAAGTTGTGAAAAGTATATATTAGTTTATCTGTCAGCTGGTTTTATAGTCCTTAAAACTGTTTCAACACATTAAGACAATATTAAAGTGCCTATACATTATTTGACTCACAAGAACAAGGTATATGACAGTGAGTCACATAATACATTTTGCATGAACATCATAACACTTGTATATTTTATCAACCACAATACTACATAAACTTGTTTAAATACTTTAAAAGAGGGAATCAACTAAGAGTGTAACTCTGTATGAATGATTTGATTATAACTCTATGAAAATTCACATATAAACATAACATTTCCAAGACAATGTTCATAAATGCAATACCCTCAGGTTCCATAGTATACGATTAGAGGCACCCCAAAAAAGTAACTGCCTAAAATTGTAAGCCACTCTAGTTACATTTTCATACACTTGTACATCAAGTTTAATAACCACTATATTTGTATCAGGGGCATTAAATGCACGATGTCCGTATTTTAAAATGAAATTCCTTAGAAATGTTTACCGATTTATTGAAACTTTTTTAAATTCTGGATTTTGATGTAATAAAATTCCAAATAACATGCTGTACTTTACACATTTTCTAAGTTTATAAACTAAACCCTCAATTACCAGTTTAATTAAATACTGTTCACAATGGGTTCACATATTGAGTACTTTTATATTTTTACCTGTCACAACACTTAGTGTAAAGAGCTTACCAGAAATCACTCATTTTCTATGTTTAATACAGTAGTGAATGGGATTAATTGCAATATTGTTGGTATTTTTTGTTTAAATTTATATGTGTGATTCATATGTAATTTCAAATCCTATAACCAACAACATCATGGATCTATCAGCATAAATAACTATGAAAAATATCTTTAAAAATCTGCTAAGGGTCAATAGATTAATAAATCTAGGGTTAACTAACTGTTTACAGATATTCTTAGTATAAAATATTTGATTTCAATTCATTAATTTGTTTTAAATTAGTCATAAATGAACATATTTAATAAATGTTATTTTAATGACATATTTTCACTTAATGACCTGCATTTAGCAACATTTCAAACTAATGTGGCTTGATAAAAGATAGTGATAATTAAATATTAATAACAGTTCTATAATTAAAGAATTATTATGGGAAAAATTAAACTTACCAAATGCCCAAACATCACTTTTGTGGGTGAAGATACGATGTTGTATACATTCCAAAGCTAGCCATTTCAATGGCATCTGAAAATGAAAAAATACAAATGTCTGTAAACAGTTTCAACTACACTACTTGTTCAGATAATCTTGAAAATTTTAAAAAGAAAAAAATAATAGTCAAATTCTTAATGCCTGACAAATTTGAAACAATATCACAATAAAACAACTAGTTTGCTAGATTGAGCCATGTAAATAAATCATCAGCTAAGGTTATAAAATAAAAAAACATATTAGTTGAGTCAATTCAGGTGAATCTTTTCCCCTTAATCATCTCCAGTACATTTTATACTTATTGTGGGCCTGTTTGAACACCAAAATGCTAAAATTATTAACTCATCTCTCTAATGAATAGTTGTTAAGAAGCATTTGTTCAATTAAATTTATGTTTATTACTCATTTCTATATCACTGCTCATCCTTGATGGAATACTATTACTGTATACAACTTCAACAACATGTTACTATTTAATGAATTACATTATGTCCTTCTTTCATTTGCAAACACTGCATGTTTAAAAAAGCTGCAACATAAATAATAAGAGTAAGTTGTTTTCCAACATCAACTTTACTACCAAACAAATACTATTGACAAAAAAAAAGGATGTAGCTTGAAGTTATAATGTGTAATTGCACAAATATTGCTTTAATGTCATTAAAACATGGTGTGTATTAACATACAAAGACAACTTAAAGGCTGAAGTGCCACATTGCAATATAAAGGTTTTATTAACCCACAAGCTTTCCAGATCTCAAAAGAGCTTTTCATCAGGTAGAATTATAACACTAACTGAAAAAATGTTTAAAAATTAGAAATCAATCATGTGAGAAAATGAGACCAAACACACATTTTGTTGTTAAGGCATACATTAAAAATATTGTATAGATCTAATTATTGATTAAGTCTATCTACCCATGATAAGTAAACTTACAACTCTGTTAAACATACAGATATTGGTAATGAACATAATTCATACACATACAATTAAAACATATAATATTGCTGTATGAAAGGTAATAAAGAAAATAATACACAGATATCAAGGAAGTAACATAGTATCTTGTACAGTATTTATTCATAGTCCATTAAATTTTACTATTCAAAATTAGATGACAGTAGGACTGTTTCCCAGTAGGATTAAGAGGTACCATATGGAGCTGTTTATCACTCATCCCATTCCATTTTCTTACTTTCATTTGAAGGGTTTCTTTTTTTTGGCTTCTTTGTATCCTTAAATTCCTGATAAAGAACTGTGGCACTTCCCAATCAATGTCTTTGGTACATAGTATTGTGCATTCCATGAATCCTAACACTGGTTGGGTGTTGAAGGAGACTGATAGTTGCCAGTGTGCATGAAATCAAACATTTAATCTCTGACATATCCTTTGCTATATTACATTTAACTCCATGAATGACATGTTTCTGCTAACAGATAGGTACAGGATTTTTTTACTTTTTAAAATCTGTTTAATTGTTCTGTCCTTTTTTTATTGAAGACAGTCTGGGTTTTGTGTATGTCACAAAAGTGGTGGAGTTTTGAAGAAAACTTTGATGTATATATTGTAAAATAGTTGTGAGTAGATTTACAGTTTTAAGTTTTTGAGTACTGGTTTTGTTGTCTGCTCCACTAGGTGATGGTTTGTTTTTGTATAATATCAGAGAAATAGCTATTTATGGAATACATGGTGTACATTTTTGAGATTAGTGTTGAGGAACTTGGGATCAAATGGCCTTTCTTTTAAGATGCTTATAATACGATGTTTCACTGATGGTGGATGATATGAGGTAAAACTGAGATACTAGTTGCTGTGCATTAGTTTTCTGTGGGTTTTGGTGAGAAGATTTTGATCAGTTTTGATGACTAGGGTGTCAAGAAAGGGTAGTTTCCCTTTGTTTTTGATTTCTACTGTAAAGTGAATGGGAGAGCACTGTTCGTTAAGATGGCTCAGATATATTTAAAGCTCCCTTATGCTCACGGACCCATATTACAAAAGTATCATCAGTGTACCACCACCAATATGAATGTCTGTATAATGCAGTATGCAAAGCACTTTTCTCTAATTCTTGCATAAAAACCCATTGGTGTACCATCCATCATATTGTTGTCCATATGGAAAACAATACTGAAAACAGGTTTCTAATATTTCTATTATTAACAGGACTGACATTTTTGTGTGATGTGGTAGCATATTATTAATCTGAAATTGTTGTGTATTTACTGACAAAGAGTAATTTGTGAATAATGAAATCACATTAAAACTAGCATGTATGTCCTTGGAATTTATTCAACCTTTGGTGTTAATATCACTTGTTAAAAGTTTCAGGAGCATGAGAAGATGTTTTGCAACATTATAGGTAGAGCTGTTGATAAACCTGACCTGACTATGGATCCGAGTGGAACATTTGCCTTAGTTTTGAGTACATCATAAATCTGCAATTTTAGTTTGTTATATGATATTTGGTCAATTTCCTCCTTTTGCTTGAAATTGTCAGTAGAGTATTCAATTTTTTCTCAAGGCTTGTTGTACAGCCCTTGGTAACCTGTTTATAGAAAGATTCATTTAACAGAAAAACATTTTGCTACCATAATGTTCCTTATCCATAACTGCAATAGCACTTCCTTTGTCAGATGATAATATAACAATATCTGGGGCTGGTTTTAACTGGTATAGAGCCCACTTCTCAGCTTTAGATAGACTAGATTTAGGTTTCTATTCTTTAGTTTTATCATGGGTTTGTTTGATTTTTACTGCTATTTTAGCAGATTTATTGTCTTTTAATCAACTTCTTGAATGCCTGTTATAAAGTAAAATGTTGGGAGAGTATTAGGAGTATTGTCAAAGTTAAGGCTGTGTTTTAATAGAGAAATCTGATCACTGGTCAGAATCTTGATTAAAAAATTAATAACCTTAGATGCTCTATCATCATTGGAAGCAGATTATATATATATATATATTTGTTGAAAAGTTTCTTCCTCAAATAGTCTTTCAAATTTTATTTGTAGTTTTTTGTCATCCTATCAGCTGGCTCAATTGTTTCATAAAGCTTAATACAGAGAGAATCAATAGAATTGTTTTCCCACATGACTTATTTCTATTGTTTAAAATTATTTTCAGTTAGTGTTGTAATTCCACCTAATGAAGAGCTTTTTAAAGAGCTGGAAAGTTCACAGATTAATGAAACCTTTATATTTCAATGTGATATTTCCACCTTAAGCCTTCTTTTTATGTAAGTAACCACACAAGTTTTACTGTACTTAGTTCTTCCACTGTTACCTATGAACAAATATCACATGAAAATTCCATTATGATTATATCAATTACGATGAATTCTATCATCTTAACTTTTCTTAAATTAAACTGAACATTCTTTCCATGCCTCTACAAAATACTACTGCTAAAAACAATTACAGCTTTTTAAATAACATTTTTCAAACAATATTACTTGTAAACATCTATTTAAAACAGTATGGTTTGTTTCAGATATTTAGGCAAAGATAAACAAGGGATATCTGTGCTGGATATTGTCCCTAATTATGAATTGATATACTAGAGAGAAAGCAGCTAATCAACAGCACACACTACCACTCTAGGGCTACTCTAATTAAATAATGGAATTATTACATCACTTTTATAAAGCATCCATGATCCCAAAGTGTGGAGTGCAATTTTACAGTAAAAGAAATGGATCCTCAGGTTTACAGTCTGGCATGCTAACCACTATGCCATAATTGGCCATTCTCAACAGTATTCCTCAAAATAAAAACGAGGTTCGTAAATGAATTTAGCTTAATGAAGTTTGTGAAAATGACATTTCAGTCATATTTATTAAATACATTTTAAAATCTTTAAAGGACATACTGGAATGAGAATCACAAAGTTTCTGAATCTTACCTTTCCTCCTTCAGCTTTGTAACTCTCCTCATTGATGTCCAGTAGCTTGGCAAGCCCAAAGTCTGTGATTTTTATACAACCTGGATTATGTACTAGAAGAAAATGCATATGATCACAACATGAATTGTTATAGGCTCATTATACTCTTTCTATTTTATACATAACTTATAAATAAAAATTTAACAACTACAAGTTATTTAATTATGTGCAGCATTGACAATGTATTTTTATGCAATTCTCATAAAGTTCAGTAATTTTGTTTTTACAGCACTTCTAGAAAATTTAATTTTTGCTCAAAATATTCATAAAAAGTGCTTATATAGGGCCCAACCTTAGAAAAGCTATTTATAGAGATGTGATACAGTAATATGTAATATATAAGCTCGAATATGTATGTGTAAAATATATACTTAATAATTTTAGTAAACTTTTAATAATAAAAATAAATGAGCTTCCATTTCATTGAAAATTAATAAATATATTACTTAGAAGAAAATATGGTAATTATAGCTATAGTATTAAAATAATAAAATTTTAATTACTAACACTTATGTCATTAAAAATATTTCACATTGAACCTTTTTTTGTATGTATAAGGAAATTTGTTTTTATGAATATCAGATTCAAATGCAGACTAATGTGTACACAATATTAATTACTGGACATAATTCTGAATGTAATACATCTAGTACAACAATATCATTTGTATATGCTGAAAATAAAGATAAAGGGTACGTTGAAAATGTATCTTGAGCATTCTTATAAAAACAAATGACTGAACTTTAAAGTAATTATTCAAAAACAAACAAAAATAAATGACTTACAAAGTACATTTCTCAAAGCAAGGTCTCGATGAACCATTCTTTTTTTCTCTAAATATGCCATGCCCTAATTAAAGGGGAAAAGATGAATCAAAATAAATAAAAAATCTAATATCTTTGAAGTAGAATTATTTATCAGAGATAACAAAGTAAACAACTGTTAAGAAAAAGAGAGATTACATGCTATCAAACTTTAGATTCTCATATATATATCATAACATTTTAAGTATTTATACTTATTAAATTGAAATGCAAACTTATTTCAACAAGTAGAAGAAAAAATAAAACAACATGATTGCTGTAGGCATTCTTTTGTCAAAAATCACAGTAAAATGGTATTGTTGTTAATAGGATTACCAAGATTAGTGAATGAAAAAAAAAAAGGTGTATAATCATGTTATTTATGTTAATGCATCCAAGGTAAATATCCACACTACAAATGATTAAAAACAGTATTATTTTCAAATAAAACCCAGATACTATCCAGACCTTGTTTAACTAAAGTCTAAAAAGCTGATAAAATATCAGGTCCACAAGTTTACAGAGATTTTATTTTACAAAAAGGTTTAGGGTGACAAAAGTAGTTACATATAGTTGTTCCAACAAAAACATCCTACCAGTTTTCATTGATTTAATTTATATTTGACTTCTTTTTCCTTTTTCTTATATTTTTATATTATAGGAGAAATGACAAAGAAATATAAATATTTTCTCAAAAGTTTCTACTAGTTATACTGTAAATTTAGTGTTGAAGATAGTCTAGAAAAATTATAATTTCTCAGAAAACAAAACCACTTTGTTTTATCATTGGGCAATATAAAACTCATATTATTTGAAAATATTGGTCAAATTGTATAAAAGCAAAAAAGAAAAATTAAACTTCAAAATTTCATTCCTGACAAAAATTAAATTAAATTGAGAATTATAGATAGATACAGAGATAATACTTTCATGATATAAAAGACTGTTTAGTTTAGATGTTATTGATTGATTTATTTAGTTTTTGTTATAATAAAAGTTAAAAGCAGACGATTGTAGGAGGTTTTGTTACTAATTCATTGATGCTGAGACTATTGACATCAAGAATATAGAAGTCGGAGAGACGATTTGGTGATAAACATATAAGTAACATGAGATGAGTGGGAAGCAGCAAAGACAGATAATAGCAAAAACAAATAAAGTTTCAGGCCAAGGAAAAGTTCGGTGTGAAGTTAAGAACCGTAGAAGTGATAGGCCTAATGTTTAATATGTTAGAGTAAGACTAATACTAGTAACAGTAGAAAAGTAGATAAGAAAAATAATTTATTCCGTTAAAGAATGGTTCTAAAGTAATTGAATCAGTCAGAGTGTATTTTTACAAAAGGAACAATTGTAAGTGAATCACACACAGAATACTATTGCAATAGTAATAGAGAAGATATTTATAGTTCGGCTTGTCAACTGAAATTCTAAAGTAATTGAATAGGCCTAAGTGGACTTTTGACAAGATGATATGCCTATAATCTCTATAGTGGGAAGAATTTGCTGTACATACGTTTAGCTTGTTCGAATATATATATATATATATATATATACATTATTTTGACAGAATCACCAGTAAGTTCTATTGGCCGAGAGTCATTGGAGATGTGAGTAGATTCTGCAGGTCATGTGACATCTGCCAAAGGACAATACCTAAAGGGAAGGTAGCCAAAGTGCCATTGGAGAAGATGCCTCTCATAGAAGAACCATTCAGTAGAGTAGCTATGGACTTGATCGGGCCACTAGCACCTGTGCCTGACCTGCACAACCGGTATGTGTTGACAGTAGTCGACTATGTGACACAATATCCAGAAGCAATAGCGCTGGCGAAGATAGACAAAGAGAGAGTAGCAGAAGCTCTGCTGAAGATATTTTGCATAGTAGGCTTTCCAAGAGAAATCTTGAGTGACAAAGATTACTTCAGAAATGATGCAGGAAATGTGCAGACTCATCAGTACTCGGCAACTCTTTACCACCCTGTACAATCCTAAATGTAATGGACTTTGCAAGAGAATCAATGGAGTTTTAAAGAGTATACTAAAGAAGGTGTTCCAAGAGAGACCACATGACTGGGACAGGTACTTACAGGCAGTATTATTTGCTTATTGTGAAGTCCCACAAACAAGTACAGGATTTCCACCCTTCGAGTTACTGTATGGAAGAACAGTACGAAATCCGATGCAAATATTGAAAGATGTATGGACAGGAGAAGAAGAGTTAGAAGTAAGGAACAGGTACCAGTATGTGTTAGACCTCAGAAACCAACTGGAGAAGACTTGTCAACTCATTCGACAGAGTATGTATGCAGCTCAAGGTAGTCAGATGCATTTCTATGACAAGAAGGCCAAGAATCGATGTTTCAAGGTTGGACAAAAGGTCTTAGTTCTGCCAGCCACAGACCACAACAAACTCATCCTGCAATGGAAAAGATGTTTTGAAGTACAGGAAGTACTCAACAGAATGGACTAAAAGGTGAATGTGAATGGGAAGATCAAGATCTACCATGCCAATCTGTTGAAGAAGTATTTTGGGAGAGAAGAAGACCTAACAGGTGCAACTATTGATGTACAAATGGTATGGCTGTCATAGAAGTAGAATCTGAAGACAGTGACTTTATTACAGAAGATAAGGACCTACTAAGTCTAAGAGCACTGAGTAGAGATGAGACACACAAGGATATCAACATAAGTATCAAACTGACTGATAGGAAGAAGAAAAAGAAACAAAATCTACTGTGTCAGTATACAGATAGATTAGGAAACACAGACCTCAGGCAACACAAGGCCAAGATGAAGATGAGTCACCCTCTTAAGGAGAAGCCCTACTGGAGACCCTATGCTAGGAGAGACAGACAAAGGAACTGTGAATATTAGTGTAGACTGTATGAGCAGACTGTGTATGAACTAAGGACAGTCTTTGTACGTAGTGAAAAAAGTATTGTAAATATTTTATCTTGAAGAGGGGTTTATGTCATGATATAAAAGACTTTGGTTTAGATGTTATTGAGTGATTTGTTTTTTGAGTGAATATATTATTGTTTAGTTTTTGTTATAATAAGAATTAAAAGCAGATGAGTGTATGAGGTTTAGTTAATAATTCATTGATGTTGATACTATTGAACATCACATGCAATACATTGACATAGAGAATACAGAAGTCAGAGAGACGATTAGGTGATAAAGATATAAATAACATGAGACGAGTGGGAAGCAGCAGACAGATAATAGCAGAAAAAAGTAAAGTTTCAGGCCAAGGAAAAGCTTGGCATGAATTTAAGTACCATAGAAGTGATATGGCTAACATTTTATATTTTAGAGTAAAACTAACAGTAGAAAAGGAGACAAGAAAAATAATTTATTCTGTCAAAGCATGGTTCTAAAATAATTGAATCAGCCAGAGTGCACAAAAGGAACAGAAGAGAACTATATATATAGTGTTTATGTAGTGTGAAGAATCTGTTGTACGTACATTTAACTTGTTCCAAATATATATATATATTATTTTGAAAACAAGTGAAGTGCATGCTGTTCATTTATTACTAACAACTTAACAAGTCACAGACACCTACTGTAGAAGAATCTTAAGTCCAACAATAACACAGTATATATATTTATACTATTAAGAAGTATAAGTAAATATCTTTTTTATTTTGACAATAAGTTATAAAAAGAAAAATTATATATTTAAAGAGTTGACAAACACATCCCTCCATTCATGGGAAAAATAATAAGTATTTAAATATATCTTTAATCATGCTATACATTCAAATAGAAATTCTAAAAAACTTTAGCCTACTCTGGCTATTTGAGCACACCAGTTGAGAAGTGGTTTAGAACCAATTTTCTTCTTGTTGTACTGGACATAATTTAGTAAGCAGCCCAAGGGCATGAGTTGGGTGACTAGCATGACCTGGGATGCAACACAAACTGCTAGCAGTTTCAAAACATTGGGATGGTCCACACTAGCCATGATTTTAGCTTCCTAATTTAAAGAAAAACAAAAAAAATTAAAAAATGACAGAATTATATAAAGTATTAGCTACTTATTTGAACCAGATACTGCCTAATATTGCTAGATATAAGACTTCTACAAAACATTTAACAGCCTTTAAACTATTCAAGCAATATACAAGCTTTACATGCTAGAACAGTTTTGTTTATCAAAACAAACGTGTACAGATTTTATGTTATATTAACATTAGGTACTTAGTAGTTTAATTAGTTTCATCTTCAATGTCTTAATTTACATAATTTCATGAAAAACAGATCAAATAATTTCAACATTAATAATACAAATGAACTTACATCTGAAATTTGAAACAAACACTTTAATGCGAAGAAGTCCTAGGTTAATATTTTTATTGTATTTCATTAACTATATGTGCACAGGTTGGGGTCAAAGTGCACATGTCATGGCCTTTTACAGAATGCCATTTAATATGGATTTATTCATTTTACTCTGCAATGTTGACTTACAGACAGTTTATGGTAAAGGAAAGTAAATACCAGATACATGGATACTGAAAAAACTAGAGATATGCATTTCAAAGGTTCTAGAGGTTATGTAAATGTAATATGCAAACAGAATGATGGAAAATGTATTTCTATTTTTCACATGAACATCACCATACTCTCTGACTTGACAGAGACTGAATCAGATTGACATCTGTTTGCAACATTTCACATAGTAAGTTTGCAACATTTCACATAGTAAGTTCAAAATTATAATCAACATTCCTTCTCCAATATATGGTTGGCTCAGCATACTGACCTTGAGAACATTGCTTTATGTATTTTGAAAAAGTAGATTATCTTATAGTGACAATATACTGAATAAAAACATTTGAGGGTTAGCCTTATTCAGATACTTTGTAGATCTTGTTTAAACTACAGAAATTTGATCTTCATATAAAACATTTTGTACATACTATGTTTAATATAGTCCATTACATTCCTTAAGCAACACTAATGCTCCATAATTAATTTTACATCAAATCATTTTCTGCATAACAAGATAGTTTATGAATGTAGTTCCATTTTTTAGTACACTCAAGAGCTATAATATTAATTTCAATATAAACACTTAAAAATACTTACCTCTAAGAAGGCATTGTTATTGGAAGGTCCTGTTTCAGAATTATCATCATTCAACACTTTAATAGCCACTGGAATTTTAACATTCTCTCCTTGAGGAATCCAAAAGCCCTAAAAACAATTTACTCTTAATATTAATCTACTAAAAACAGTTATTAATTTAATACTATCCCTCTCATTGCTAATGAAAAATAGTCTAACTCACAGATGTTCAAAACTGAATGAATGTTTCTATTTCTATATTTTGTGCTTAAAGACATCAACAAGTAAAACACTTATCACTGTAACAGGTTTTTAACTTTGCATTTACAGAATATAAGGTACTTCTTGGGCCCAATTCAAGGTCACCTCTTAAAATTTTAATAGACTGTACTGTAAAACTAATGGCAGCTATACAAATTGTATTATTGTAAGAGCAAAGTAATAAGAAAAAGGTTACCAGATCACTGATGTCTAACAACTTACTTACAAAAAACTGGTGTTTTGTAAAACTAAAAGAATAAATGTTAAAAAAATAATAATGATATTTAGCTCACTTTACCCTACCTTGCCTACTATTTTGTTGGATATCAGTTTTCACAATATTTTTATGAATCTTTAGTTTTTTAATTGATTAAGCTCAGAATAAATTCAGAAAAATACAACAAAGACTAAAGGATAAACATAAATTAAATATTAAAACTGTGTTATAAAGATATGGATTAACTATTACTAGTAGTTCTCCTGAATAAACAGGTAAAACCTTTTATTTATGTGTAATATTAAAAATTTTTCCTATTTGCATTTTAACTGTCCAGAGTCAGGTAACTAAACAAAAACCAAGAGCTGAAAACTGTGAAAAAACTAATGCTGTCAACATAGCACCATTTTTAATAACTTGTATTATTATAACAATTTTAATGTGTATTTAAATTTCATACATTGTTTACAACAGTAGTTCCGTTTTTTCTGTTTATCACAGCAGTCAAAAACTAACATTTATCAATTTATTTACAATTTAGTCTCTGTTTATGATAGCAGATTTATGTTGTGGATAGCAGCAAAACTTATCTAATTACCCTATAAACCAATAAAAAAATAACAATTTACTTTATAAACTGTTCCAAATGCACCAATCCCCAGAATACCTCCTCTGTGGAGCTCTGCTTCTTTAACCAATCGAAGTTGGGCAAGATTTGGCATAACATTTGATGGAATCACTGGTTCACTCTCATTGTTAAGTTCAGTAAATTTCTAAAAAAAAAAAAAAAATGCTTAGAAACAGTTGATGAACAATAACCAGAATTCTTAATCAAGATAGTAAATGAAGTTCTATCCTAATTCCTATCTAATCTCCAAAGATTATTATCTAAAAATAATTGTTTGAATGAGTATAGCTCTTAGATCATCAGAAGATAAAGTTTTGTATAAATTCCTTCCATATATTAATTAAGTAGTTGATGCCTTCATCTTGTTATAGTTCATACTTGTAATAACTACAAACAATTCAATCAAAATGCTTTGTTGTTTGTTATGTATATTTACTAAGATATTACTCTTAACAGAACAATTATGAAAACAATATTGTTACATATCTGTTCGTTTGTTAATTTCCGGTATAAATTCTTTCCGAGAAACTTCAGCAATACAAGTCCTTTCTTGATTGAAACGAGTTTATTCTTTCTTGATACAACTTTTTGTAACACACAGAATTTCCACAGTTACTTTAAACTTAACAACCTTTATAACACACGCTAACAATCACAGTGATTCACAAACTTTACTCACGGTGCCTACTGTTCGCTTGACTCAATTATCT